CAATTTTCCATATCTCTTGTATGACCCCAAAATAACTCATAGAAGTTGTGATAGGATTTTTGTCTTTAGAACTAGAAAAATGCATAGATTCAGCTTGAATTGTGACCCCACTATTTTGTACTCTACCTTTATCATCTTCTATTTTTTAGTAGAAACAATAATTATTAATGTCATACCCACCAAATGTAATGACATCACTATTAGGCCCACGAGCAAGTCTCAAAAGTGTTTCTGAAACATTAATCTCAACATATACCCTTTTTTTAAACCAAGAAAGGAAACTTTTGTTATGTTCATTAAATACCCATTTTTCATTCATTCGTGGATGTGTTGCCTTTATTTCAGTTATGTGTTCTGATATGTAAGAGATTACTTCATCAGTGTTGTTCAATATGTATAAATGTGTTTGGTCAACTTCTTTCCGACTAACATTTTTAATCTTTAAATTTCGAGTACCCTTGCCTTCACATCTTCCATCATGTCTCATCTTAGGAATACCTATTGGTTCCGATTTTGACATGTATCCTAAACAAAACTCAATGGCTTCTTCCGCAATGTACCTTTCCACAATAGAAGCTTCGGCTCTGCATCGATTCTTCACATATCCTTTTAAGATCTTCATGTATCTCTCAACAGGATACATCCATCTAAGAAAAATTGGACCACATAACCGAATTTCCCTTACCAAATGGACTATCAAATGCACCATGATATCAAAAAATGAAGGGGGAAAATACATTTCTAACTGGAACACTATTACAATTGCTTCATTTTCTAATTCATCTAACTTTTTTGGATCAATTACCTTTTTACAAATGGCATTGAAAAACAAACATAACCGAGTAATAGCAATTCTAATAGAAGTTGGTAAGATGTTTCGAATAGCCACTGGTAAAAGTTGTTGCATCAACACATGACAATCATGAGACTTTAAACCAACTAATTTCAACTCTTGCATAGACACAAGACTCTTAACATTTGAGGAGTATCCTTGTGGCACTTTGACCTCACGTAAACACTCACAAAAGCTTCTCTTTTCTTTCTTTGATAGAGTATGACAAGCTGGAGGTAAGTAAGTGCGTTTTCCAACCGATTGTGGATGTAATTCGAACGTATACCCATGTCTCGCCAAATCTTGTCTTGCTTTTATTCCATCTTTTGTCTTTCCTTTTATGTTAAGCAATGTCCCAATTATACTATCACAAACATTTTTTTCAACATGCATCACATCTATACAGTGTCTAACTTCCAACTTACACCAATAAGGAAGATTGAAGAATATAGATTGTTTCTTCCAAATGTTTTTCTCATTGGATTTCTTTTGGGTCTTTCCAAACACAGTATTAATATTTTTCACTTGCTCATATACTTGTTCACCATTGCGTGCTACTGATGCAACCGCATTCTCCTGACATCCATTAAATGCTTTTTTCATTTTACGATATGGATGATTAGCAACTAGAAACTTTCTATGCCTATTGTACGCAGTTTTTTGTCCATGTTTCAATTGGATATAACTTGTGTCTTCTTGACATAAAGGACACGCTAAATGACCTTTCACACTATAACCGCTCAAATTACCATATGCTGGAAAATCATTTATAGTTCAAAATAACATTGCACGCAACCTGAAATTCACTTCGTGATATGAATCAAATACATCCACTCCTGTTTCCCACAACATCTTCAAATCATCAATTAAAGGACTAAGATATACATCTATGTCATTTTCTGGTTGTCGAGGTCCTGAAATCATCATAGATAACATCATATATTTTCTCTTCATGCATAACCAAGGAGGCAAATTGTAAATGATCAACAAAACTGGCCATGAACTATGTTTACTACTTAAATTTTCATAAGGATTCATCTCATCTGTAACTAATCCAATTCTCAAGTTTCTTGGCTCTGCACCAAATTCTGGAAAGGTTTCATCAATCCTTTTCCATTGTGGAGAATCAGCTGGATGTCGAAGAAGATTGTCACATTTTCTACCATTTGCATGCCATGTCAAGTTTCTTGCATCTTCTTTTATGGCAAATAATCTTTTAAACCTAGGTATAATTGGCAAATACCATAACACCTTAGCAGGGGGACCATCTAGTTCTTCCTCACCACTACTTTCCTCAACTTTGTTTTTGAACCTCAACAAACCACATGTCGGACACATCTTAAATTTAGCAAAATCGTTTATGTACAATATACAATCATTATGACATGCATGTATCTTCTTGTACTCTAAACCCATTGGACATAATATTTTCTTTGCCTCATAGTTACGAAAAGGTAATGTATTATCTTCATGAAGCATCTCCTTCAACAACTCCAATAATTCGGTGAAACTTTTATCAGTCCATCCATTTCTTGCTTTTAAAGTAAACAATTTTAAAGTTGCTGATAATCTTGTAAAACTACATCCTATGTACAATTATTGCGCAAAATCAGATTTCAAAGAATCATATAGATGTGCTTTCATAAAATTTTCTTCACCAATATCACGTATCATATCCTCTAGATTATCATCCATCCCTTCATCAAAATTGTCTGTAGTTGACATAGTTGGGATGTCTAATATTTCTCCATGCCATGTCCATATTGTATAACTCTTAATAATACCATAAACAAACAAGTGATCACGTATATCCTCAAGTTTATGACGAATTTGATTCAAACAACGAACACATGGACAATAATATGTCCCTTTCATAGCTTTTCCATTTTCACTAGCAAATTTCAAAAATTCCTCAACTCCCTTTTCGTACTCTTCACTAATACGACGTGCATTCATCCAACTTCGATTCATATTATGTTATAAAGTTTCGTCACTCCTAGAGATTTAAAAATTATATGTAAAAAGAAATTAATATACAAACAACAAAACACGTTCCAACAACAATGGAGTGTGTAAACCGAATGCACTCAAACAAATAAACAAATAATTACATTCCAATAACAATCTAGTGGAGACATTCATACTATAACGTGATTGAGATCCCAAAAAAAATCACGGATTCAATTTAAACATATAGTAATGACATAGAACACTAACCTCGAGTGTAGACGAAAAAATGATTTCAAACTCGAATCCAATCGGGGAGAAATATCAAGTTCGTAAAATGACACACAATGTTGATGTTTTCTAGTGTCAAACTGATCGAAAATGGTGTGCAGAGGTAGCTGTTGTCGTCATTCTCAAAAACCCTAGTTGCGCGAGACGAGGGAGTGGGTCGGGGGGAATAAAAGGGACTTTTTACGTCGCGTGCTAGGGTGCGCGACGTAAAAGTTGTCTCTTATTTACAAAATTGTCCACTACAAGAAAATCGCGTATTATCGACGGATATTTACCGACGAATTTGTATCCGTCGGAAAATAATTATTACCGATGGAAATTACAGACGGATATAAAATATTTGTGGAATTTGATCTTACCGACGGATATATCCATCGGTAAAATAATAATTAGTTACCGACGGATATATCCGTCGATAAATCCGTCGGTAATTGACAGATGAATTTACCGACGGATATATCCGTCGGTAAATCCGTCGATAAATTAATAATTAATTACCGATCGGATATATTCGATCAGTAAATTATCAATTAGTAAATATTTAACTAATTAAAAAAATTTAATATTTTTTATTTAATAATTTCATTTAATCAAAATTAGATTAATTTATAATAATTTCTTAAATTAAATAATTTTAAAAAATAAATATTTAATTATATATAAATATATAAAAATATATAAAAACATATAAAAATATTTAATTGTATATAAATATATATATATAAATATATATATATATATATATATATATATATAAATATATATATATATATATATAAATATATAAATATATATATATATATATAAATATATATATATATATATATAAATATATAAATATATAAATATATAAATATATAAATATATAAATATATAAATATATAAATATATAAATATAAAAAAATATAAATATATAAATATATAAATATATAAATATATAAATATATAAAAATATAAATATATAAATATATAAATATATAAATATATAAAAATATAAATATATAAATATATAAATATATAAATATATAAATATATAAATATATTTGTATATAAATATAATTTATTTGTAAATTATTATCGAAAAATTACGGTAGCTTAGTGGTTGGAGTATCAGCCTCTAACTCTAAGGTACTAATATTCTATAAAATAAATAATCTATATAAGTAAAATATTTAATAAATAATAAAAATATTACCGACGGATTCCCGTCCGTCGATAATTTCATCAAACATTTAGCGACGGACTATTAAATCCGTCGGTAATACTTACCGACAACCAAATTTCCGATGCATTTTTGGTCGTCGAAAATCCGTCGGTAAATGGATATTACCGACGGATTTTTGTTATTACCGACGGATTTTGACCGTCGGTAATATCAAAATTTCTTGTAGTGGTCACCGCGTTTTATTTACGTCGAATATTTTTACATGCGACGACAATTGGGTGACGTAAAAGTCCTTTTTTGCACTAGTGTGGAGTTACAAACCGCTAAACCATTAAACCAAGTTCACAATTTTGAGCATATTTGATCGGTTATTCGAATATTCCATTTAAGAATTCAATAAAAGAAATTTGTACTAAAACAGCAAACAACGTAACAAATGGACATACGAGATCATTTGATGATAGGAGGACTTTAATACGAGAATAACCATGTTTTCAAGTACACAAAATAAATTGAACAAAATTAAAAGGTAAATTTATGATAACTTGATTAAGTTTTCAAAAATAAAAAAAAATAAAAAAAATCAGAGAACAATCCTCCTCGGACGCATTAGAACAACAACCTAACTCATTCTTAACACACTTCAAGTAAGACCCAAACATCAAATAATCTAAAACAACCAAAAAGAAAATTGCTACATATTGGAGATCTTCATTGGGTCCAATTATCAGTTCTGTCCCAGAATTCAACGTCGTCACTTTAACATTATTCATCAGCTTTGGATTCTACTGCAGAGTTGAAAGCTGCCAAATAGCCAGGGTCATGGTTATTATTGTTATCGTTGTCTACGTTATCCCTTTCTTCGCCTTCAGGAACATATTTGTTTATTTTAGGGTTCTTGAAGGTGGAGACAATGAGGATGACGTCACCACCTGCGATGACAGTACCAGTGGTGCGACCACAAATGATCCGACTATAGGTGCACAATTGGATCCCAAATGACAAGGAAGATGTGGCTCCGGGGAGATGGGTGTCATGGGGGGTGTAAAAGTAGGAACCAGTGAGGGAGAGTAAGTTGAAGGGGCCATAGATCCTGTACGTAGGGGCACCACGGACAGTGTTGTGGAGGGTCGCAGAGGCGACAGTACCAGAGGCCCCATGGACGACGAGGCTGGCTTGGCTTCGACGAGCAACGTCGACGATGGACTCCATGACGTCACATCCCTCACCCACGTTGATGGTGACAACCTTCATGGATTGATTTGCGTTTGGTAATGAAAATGAATGCCAGAGGCAATGGGAGGAGGATCCAATGCGGTAGTCCCCAGAGGATTCAAAATCTGAGTTTGTATGAAGGGGGTTTTGGGAGAGGGATAGTTCCATGGAGGTGTTTTTGAGTGAGAGATAGATGAAGCAAGATGCAAGAATTTATAATAGCAATGATCTATTATTTTTTTTTCCTAAGATGTCTATTTTTATTTTTTCAAACTTGCTGTTATGTCATAATTATTATAAAATTTATATTTTTTTTTCTGTTTTCCATTTTTATAGATGTTATTTATATTTTTTAATTTAAAATACGTTGGAAAAGGTGACTTTTGTGGTGTTCTCAAGACGTTATACGTTATTTGGGTGTTTCTTAATTTAAAATATAGAAGAACGATATTCGTTATTTGGATATTTCTTAATTTAAAATACATTAGAAGCGGTGACTTTTGTTCTGTTTTGAGGTCGGTATAATTTATTTGACTTGTTTTTTACTTTTAATATATATATATATATATATATATATATAATAAAAATAATATAATAAAAATATTTTAAAAATATCTTCCTCAACTTTTTCATATATATAATAAAAATAATATAATAAAAATATTTTAAAAATATCTTCCTCAACTTTTTCCTTTTTTTCTCTCTCAACAATCATACATCATCTTATCTAAATATTCTCTCTTTTTCTTGAATTTATCTAGGCCACTACTTATTCTCTCATATTTTTTTCTCTAAAATATTTTTTTTTCTTATTCATTTCTTTCTATAAAAAAAATTACAAAATTAAAATGCGGATGAAAAAAAGAACCTCAAGTACACTAGTACGTAAAACACCTTTAACATCGGTTCTTAGCAGCTTTCTACATCGGTTCTAAAACCGATGTAGATACAACCGATGTAGAAAGTTGGTGAGTTTTAACATCGGTTAAGGCCTAGAACCGATGTGGAAAGTATTAAAAATCACTTTCTACATCGGTTATGGCCATAACCGATGTGGAAAGTCATATTTTTTTTTAAATACGAATTTTAGTTTTTTATTTTTCGAACCCGTACAAGCATTTTAAATATTTACGACTACTCGTAATGTTAATCTATATATAGAGGACATGCATTAACACATAAGTAAACATAATGTATATTATATATCTACATTGTATTGTATCAACAAAAACAATAAACATGTATTGTATTCTAAGTTTATATATACAAAGAAACTAGCAAGTCCTAATGTTTCACAATTAAATTCAATCACGACTATATCTTAATAACAAAATCTACCCAAATTCGTCTAATGTCATCAATCTCTGCTTCACTTATTGGATGGCCATCATCGAATATCTACAAACAAAAAAAACATTTCGAGATAAGCGTAGTAGGCAAATATATGTCAATGACATAGATATAGTCATAACACATACCAAATTCCATGAATCTGTGATATTTGTCGTGATGATTGTTAACATATGTCTCATCACATAATATCCGCACTCCCAACTTCCTTTTTGCTTATTACACTATAAGAAAAAAAAACATTAAATACAGAAAATGAGTAAATTAAAGTTAAGAATTTGAAAGATAATGTCCTTACACGTGGAAGTATCCATGTGGGTTTCTTTTTAGGCTTACCCTCCATGACCGAGTATGCTTCTATACACCTATAAAAGATAAAATGGAAAATACTTCATATTAAGACATGTGGAACTTAAAATGAAATGAATGAAATATTATACAAGGGTGTTAGTATACTTATCTTAAACAATTGAATGTTGTCTGGATCGGGATTTGGGAATGAAGCACAATTATTATGAAGTACTTACTTATGAATATAAAAAGTAAAATGTGGATACTATTTAGCTCAAAGGAGTGAAGCACAGATCTTTACAGTTATTTAATCTGTCATGAACCAGACCTAGAGTATTTAATTAGTCACAAAGACAGATTCATATATAAGGGTGTTAGTATACTTACACATCAATAATCTGTTTAATTTCCTTTTTGGGTTTATTCCATAAAGAGCATAAAAAAATAGTCTCATTACGTTTAGGACAAAGGATAAACAGTTGCCAGTGAGACCTACAAAAAATGTCGCTCAATTAGCAATTCTTAAGAGATTCAAAGTTTGAAAGTAAGTAATTTAAAAAAACTTACCCATAATGATATGGTGCGAGATAAACTTCCTTTGATCCTTCACAAAATCTCTTTTGAATGTATGCTTGAATAGTATTTGGTTTGTTCCCCAAACTCTGAATGTGGACAGGATCAATGAATCCATAGACATCTTCTACTCCCTTTTCCGCAACAGCTTTGTTGAGGTAACTAGAAATTGAAAATATCATGTTAATTGCATTTTAGACAAGTTGGTGTCTAATAGGGCATACAACCAATTGACTTAAATAAAAACATAAGACTTACATTAACCAGACTTGGAGAATTGTGACGCAAATCATGTCTTGACTCAAAACAACATCCATAATGTCCTTCTGACTCAAGTACAACGTGATGGGCTGCGGATTCCCAATCACATGAGGGTCCATCTGGATCTGTAAAGGTATATGCTTTCCTAGCCTATAAGCTAAGAGGCATAACCTTTGTATCGGATCTAAGTCCAGTTCCTCTTGAACTTTCTCTTTCTCTTTCTCCTTCCCCTTCTCCTTTCCTTTCGCCGGGCACAAATGTCCTATACACATCAAGGAATTAAATTAAAATTTATGATAAAATAATAAAATTATAAACATGTATCAAATTATTAAAGAAAACATATAATACCCGATCAGTAGGAAACCGGATAAGTGCTCTAGGCCACCGAATGAAATGACCGGGAGCCTCCCCCACTGTTCTAACCTCGTCGGATGGAACAGAACAGGAGCTTCGTAAACTTCCACCCGTTCAACCGCAACACGAAGAAAGGAATCCGTCATTTCTACCCCGTGTATAAGTGGCCCCAATGTATGCACAGTACCATATGCCACTAGTAAGCCTTCCTTTGTGAAGAACTTGCATAGAGGCCTAGGAGTGTCTTCACCAAGTGGAGTTGACTCATCATCAAGAACGTCAACCCGTGCACAACTCCCTTTGGTGCTAACACGTTCCTCAGTGGCGAGAAGCTACGGAACACATTGTTGACCCCCTCCCGTGTTCCCCCGAGATAAGCCTAAGGAGACAAGTTCCCGCCTTAGCTCCGCCCGAAGCTCTTCCCTAATTTGATCCCCGATGGCCCGCAACTCATCTCTAGTGACCACACTTTTTGTGGAAGGTTTAGGAGTGCCAAAATATTGTCTGGATGCCAATCCCCCATCCAGCTGCCCGCACACGACCTGGATGCTCTGGTCGTCCAATAGCAAGTGGATAATATATCTTGTCGTCCACTAGGGGTAAAGGTCCCTTGTGAACTTTGCTCTAATAATTCATCCTACAAAGAAAATGTAATTGATTAGAGAAGACACAATATATAATTCTATCTCATTTTGAACAATTTTTTAAATAACTACTTACAATTTTCTCGTCCCACAACACGACTCTCATCCGTAGTATAGTCACCTTTCTTGCTCGTCGTGCCTTCTTCCACTTCTCATGACGAGAAGGAGGTGATGGAGGTGAAGTCACACCCGAGGGGTCACTTTGAGAGGCTTCTTGAGAAGCTTTACGCTTCTCTTCTATCGCCTTCCTCTCAAGTAGCCGGTAACCCCTGGATAGCCTCGTGAGGATATACATTTTTTTCTTGAATTGTTTTTGCCTTTTGTCGTTTCTCCTAATAAAGATACATTCAAAGAAACGGTCGCTAAAAACCGCCGGTATTTCATCGCTGAATTCATCGCTGAAAAACTGCCGGTATTTCTTGAACTAATGAGTCTAATTACCAAGCATATGATTTTCCTTCTACCTATATACTGAAAAACTGCCGGTATTTTATCGCTGAATTCATACCAACTAAACACATAGCAATGTTAAATTAAATCCGAGGTTGATTTAACTGCAGGTAAGGTGCAGTAGAATTACATATATAAAAGGCCAATGCATTTTGTGACAATTGCCGATAAAACATGTAGCATACTAAAATAGTATTATCCATTTAGTTCTATGCGTTTTGTGCGAGTTAAAAGCGTGGTAAGGTGCCGTTAAAAGCAGTGCAAGTTAAAAGCAGTGCAAGTTAAAGCACACGAACCTTAAAAGAAGGATCCATACGGCTCTCAACAAACTTATCCCATGTCTCAGTTGTCTAGAAAGGAATATTGCTCACAAGGAGACACTCCTTTCTTGCTTCCAAACACGTAGGTGGAAGTCAATTGGGTCTTGAAGGCCCTCCAACGCTCACCAGCGAATGATATCCACTTCCTCCTTAGCCCTTCAGCATTCTGAACATTATAAGTGAGCTACAAAAATAATACAAGGTCGATGAATCCTACAAGAATTAACAATACAAGTAAATTTAATAGAAAAAATTCGTACCAAGATGCTTTGCCAAATTTGTTCCTTCACACGCATCTCCACATCATCCCAATCCTTCTTTATTATGCTCACTTTGTCGCGGCCTGTAAGTGCAACATAACTTCTAAACTTTGTTGCGTGAGGCCCAATAGCATTTCCGGTCGAGTCATCAAACTCAATCGGTAACCTCTCATCAAGCATTTCGACTTAGTGTCAACTCACTAAGTCGTGTTGCACGTCTCCCCTTCTTCGCGGACCTACTAGAATCGGCCATATTCCCGCCAAATAAGACAAATAAATGAGTTAGAATACAAAGTAACTAATACAAAGACATGCAAAGTAAGTAATAGTGTAAAAACCATAATATACCTATTGTTTAACAATTTTCCCATATTCCTTCTTCATGATCAAATCGGGTGGCATATACATCATCTTCTTCATTGTCATCATTAGAAGGTAAAAAGTGTGATGTCAAGATGGACTAGTAAACTGTTGAAGTTGTAAATCTTCAAGGTCATCACTACCGCACATGGGTTTCCTTGAAGCATTATTGACCAACTACTATTAACTGGATCTGAGATATAAAAGACTTGTTTTGCTTGAGTTGCCATAATAAAAGGTTCGCCTTTATAGCTAAGCTTATTCAAGTTAACCAATGTAAACCCTAATTCATCCACCAAAACACCATTGTTACTCGTCAACCCAATTGCACTTGAATACAACAATTCTAAATTTGGTGTAGTCAACCTCCCAAATATCTTGAATTACTCCATAATAAGAAAGGGATGCCATTACAGGAGAATTATCTTTTGAAGTAGCAAAGTGCATTGATTCAAGAACTACCATCACACCACTGTTTTGCATTGTACTCTTTTCATCTTGAAGCTTAGTATAAAAGGAATAACCGTTTACATCATATCCACTCCATGTTATGACATCAAAGTTTGGGCCATGAGCTAACCATTTCAAAGTTTCGGATGCATCATCAATTGTAACGATCCGTTCTTCAAACCACTTCAAGAAATTTTTATTGTGTTCATTCAACAACCATTTTTCATTCATCCTTGGATATCTTTGCTTGATCATTTCTTTGTGAGTAGATAAGAAAGGCTGAACTTCATCGATGTTATTCAAGATGTACAAATGCGCTTGTAAAACTTCTTCTCGACTCATGTTTCTACCTTTAACACCTCGGGTTCCCTTCCCAAATTGTCTTCCATCATGACGAAACGTTGGAATCCCTATAGGACTTACTTCGTAAAGATAATCTGTACATAACTCAATTGCTTCTTCTGCAATGTATCTTTCAACAATGGATGCTTCAGGCCTTGATGGGTTTTTAACATATCCTTTCAAGATTTTCATATAACGCTCAATTGGATACATCCACCTTAGATACACAGGGCCACATAACTTAATCTCTCTAACAATATGAACAATTAAATGCACCATTATGTCAAAAAATGAAGGGGGAAAAACATCTCCAATTTGCATAATATCAACACAGCTTCAGCCTTCTAGGTTATCCAAAGTCTCGAAGGTCGAGTACTTTATTACAAACAACATTAAAGAAAAAACACATATGCGTTATAACATGTCTAACCTTCTTTGGCAAAATGTCCCGAATAGCAACCGGTAAAAGATGTTGCATTAATACATGACAATCATGGGACTTTAATCCAACTAACTTCAAGTCTTTCATTGACACTAGCCGTTTAATATTCGAGCAAAAACCCCGAGGCACTTTGATACCTTTAAGACATTCACAGAGGCTTTTTTTCTCCTTCTTAGACAAAGTATAACAAGCCGGAGGCAAATAAGTCCGCTTACCACGTGATTGGGGACCTAATTCCCGTCTTATGTTCATATGAAGCATATCTAACCGAGAGTTCAAGCCATCTTTCGTCTTTCCTTGAATATTGAGGAGGGTTCCAATAAGATTGTCACGCACATTCTTTTCTACATGCATAACATCAATATTGTGCCTTACATCTAGACTAGACCAATAAGGAAGCTCAAAAAATATGGATTTTTTCTTCCATTTTTCCTTTTCATGGGAAACTGCTTGGGTCTTTCCAAACAAACAATGAATGTCTTTCACCTTCGAATACACTTCCTCTCCTGTTTTAGGGTTAGGAGCGATTTGACTCTCTTGAAAGCCATTATAAGCCTTCTTCAACCTCCGATATGGATGATTAACTCGGTAGAAATCTTCTATGTCCTAGGTACACTCGTCTTCTTCCCATGTTTCAGCTTGATGATAACACGTTTCTTCCATACAAATAGGGCATGCATTATGTCCTTTGACACCGTATCCACTTAGATTTCCATAAGCAGTGGAAGTCATTTATCGTACAAAAAAGCAAAGCTTGCAATTTAAAGTATTCATTACGATATGCATCAAATACCTCAACACCCTCTTCCCAAAGAAGTTTTAAGTCTTCAATCAAAGGCCGTAAATAAACATCAATGTCATTTCCTGGTTGTTTGGGGCCGTAAATCATCATCGACAACATTACAAACTTGCGTTTCATGCACAATCGAGGAGACAAGTTGTAAATTACTAACAAAACAGGCCATGAACTATGTATACTACTTAAATTGCCATAAGGATTCATCCCATCCGTAGCAAGTGCTAGTCTAAGGTTTCTCCCTCTTGACCAAATTCTGGAAATATGTCATCAATTTTTTTCCATTGCAGAGAATCACCGGATGTCGTATCTTCCCATCACAGTTGTCTTTCATCTACATGCCACGTTAAGCTCTTTGCATCTTTGGCATTAGCAAATAGCCGCTTAAACCTTGGAATTATTGGAAGATACCACACTACTTTGACAGGGGTTCCCGATGAAATTGTCTTATCACAATTATCTTCTCCATCCTTGACTTTAAACCGTGATGTACCACAAACAGGACAATTATGCAAACTTCCAAACTCCTTCCCGCATGTGATGCAATCATTACGGCATGCATGTATCTTCTTATACTCCATACCCATCTGACAGCATTACTTTCTTTGCTTCATAAGTACGGCTTGGAAGTGTATTCCCTTCGGAAGCATTTCCATTAATAATTGTAGCAACTCGTAGAAACTTTTATCCGTCCACCCATTTTTGGCCTTTAAGTTAAATAATTTTAACACCGCCGACAACCGTGTGAACTTAGAACATCCTATATACAGAGGCTTCTTACTATCTTCGCATAGTTCTTCGAATACATATCCTTTTTCAAATGGCTCTTCACCGATATCACGTATCAAATCCTCTAGTCGATCATTGGTTTCTTTCTCGGATTTCAGCTTGTCTCAAGCCATTGGGAAATCTACTACTTCCCCATGCCAAATCCACTTAGTGTAACTCTTGCAAAATCCATCACAAAGGAGATGCTCTCTTATATCCTTCACACTTAGTTGTCTTAAATTTAAGCACTTCACACAAGGACAATAAAAGAGACCTCTATTGTTACCCACATTTCTCTCGTGCAAACTCTAAGAACTCTTCAACCCCTAATTCATATTCTTCTTCTATACGTTTGGCATTTATCCAACTCCGATCCATATCTATAACTACATGACGTCTTTGCTTAGTGTGAAAATGGAATTACCTCTATTCAGAGGCAACAAACTTAAACAACTCAAACTATAATCCAAACCGAAATAGTACTCGGAACAACAAGAAAACTCCAGGAACAAAACAAACAACACAAAGAACAAACCTAAATCAACAACATAAGAAACAAACCCAAATGAAAAACAAGAGAACCAAATATAATCAATACCCCAAAGCCCTACACCCCAGACATGGAAACCCATAGCCTTAACTCTTCCGCTAAGAGACTCTGACCGTAGCGACATCAACCAACCCAACAGGGCTTGGATAACACCAATCTCAACCCCACGAGAATAACCAAGTGAAAATCACATATTCAAGTCAAACTAAACGGAAATAATAATACAAAACCCGTAATAAACATGTCTACATACATTAAACCTAGTGCAGTAATCAGTCCACGACCAAACAAAACAATCCAGTAATCAAGGAAAATGCATAAAGGTAATTGACAAAACAAGGATGAGAAGCCAATAGGATAGACCCACGGACCTGGTCCGAATCACCTCTCGGTTCGCGACGAGATCGAAGGTGCGCAGGTGCAATGAGGAGGAGCTCCTAGAGGGTTTCGTAGAGGTGAAGACGAGGGTGGCGCGTCGCAGCTCTTGGTGCGCGTCGCAGCTTCCCGGTGCGCGTCGCAGTTCTTGGTGCACGGCAAGGGTGGTTTTCGCTTGGGGATTCGATCGGGGAAACGGAGGTTAGGGATTCGATTGGGGGAAGGAGATGGGAGAGACAAGTGGTTTTCGCTACTGCGATAGGGGCAAGGAGACGGTGGTTTTCGCTACTGCGAGAATGAATTTGGTAATGGCTAGGAGCAAGGGAAGAATTCCGTAGGGAGTCGAGTCCGTAATTGGGTCCGGGAGTCGAGTCCGTAAGGGCAAGAGTGGAGTCTAGGGCTTACCGTCTAAAATTTTTATTATAATTTTTTTAAGACTTTCCACATCGGCTCATGGGGGAACCGATGTAGAAAGTAAAATGGTATATCGATGACCGATCGAATGGCTTTATGACCGATCGAATCCGATGATCGATCGTAATGAGATTATGACCGATCGAATTGTTTTAAATCGTAGTAGATAGCACTTTCCACATCGGTTCATGGGGGAACCGATGTAGAAAGTGCAGGTCAACACTCGCTCAAGCGACAATAAGATCGCTCGAGCGACGCCACCTCCACAAAATTGGCCTTCTCGGGTGGTTTTTCGCTTGAGCGACACTGGTCTCGCTCGAGCGACGCCACCTCCACAAAATTGGCCTTCTCGGGTGGTGTTTCGCTTGAGCGACACTGTCTCGCTCGAGCGACGCCACCCGCACAAAATTATTGGCCTTCTTGGGTGGTTTTTCGCTTGAGCGACACTTTCTCGCTCGAGCGACGCCACCCGCACAAAATTATTGGCCTTCTCGGTGGTTTTTCGCTTGAGCGACACTGTCTCGCTCGAGCGACATCCACATTTTTTGGTTATGATCGATCAAAATGAGTTTATGACCAATCGAATTATTTTAAATCGAGTAGAAAGCACTTTCCACATCGGCTCATGGTGGAACCGATGTAGAAAGTACTTTCTACATCAGTTCCCATCTGAACCGATGTTGAAAGGCTTTAAAAAAATTTCTACATCGGTTCTTTAACAACCGATGTAAAAAGTCCGATGTTAAAAGTGTTTTTTGTACTAGTGGTATCTCGATTCATCTTCTCTTTAATATTTTTAGTTACATATTTATTTTTACATTTTTCTATACCAATACTAAATTATTAATATGTGATAGGTAAATTTTACACTATTAATATTAGTTCTGCCAATAGAAAACTTTATTTGTTCACGTGACCCTTCCCACTCTATTGAACTCCGCACCTTCTCTCTCACCACATTTTCCCTCAGCACACTGCACACCCTCATTCTCGTCTCCAGCACAGCATCCCATAAACCTATTCACCTTCCTCCTCGTACTTCTCCCTGCACCCACTCTAGTCACTGGCCAAATCTCCACCATCCTCTAAATCCACTGACCGCGTGGCTAACTGGTTTTTAGCCGCGCCGGTCACCCCCACTACATCTCCACCATCGTCCTTGCCTCATACACCACCTTAGCCATTTTACTCTCCTTTTCTCCCACCATTGGCGTGCTTCATTTAGCCCTATGTGTGCTGCGCTTCACCCAATCTCCTTCCTTCACCTCACCACCAGTAGCCCTCATCTCCACTCTCCCGCACAGCCTCACCTCGCATCAGTGTCACTCGCCTCCTTCCTGGTCACAGCCTCCAACTCTACTCCGAATACCTTTTCCCTCTTCACCAGCGGGAAACTACCATGACCACCAGCCACCACACCGTGAACCATTAGTCTTTGCGTTGTGTGGCCATTCTCCTTCGTTTATATTTTCCTTATTTCCTTTTGCTCGAAAATGCAGGGTATGTGATGGAGATCCTGATATGAACACGCGAATTCTTTTTGTTCGAGACCCTCCCTAATTAAAACGAAATAAAATGTGAATAAACTTTTCTTGTAGTCTTTCATTAAACATTTTTCCCTTTTATAGGCTGGATACAAATCAGTGCCAATAAAAGTAGGAAAAGGATATATATACATATATATATATATATATATATATATATATATATATATATATTAGTATTTTAGGATGGATAGGAAAAATGGTTTGATGTTTAGTAGTGAGATTTGTGTAAAAAATAATTTTTAGAAAGAGGTAGAGAAATAGGAGAAGATTTATACCAGAAAAGATAATAATTGATTTTAGAAGTGCTAAGAGTTTATATTAGTTTTTCTACCTATCGTACAAAGACTTTTCATACCTATTTATAAGCTTTACTTACAAAATTTTAAAATTTTCTACTAACTTCATTTTTCTACACTATTCTATTCTTCTTCTTCTTCTTTTCTTTTTCTAGAATCATATTATAGCTTCTACTAGTAACTACACTAAAAAAAAAAAGCCTATTACCTACGGAATATTACCTACGGATAAAAATCCGTAGGTAAATTTTACATTACCTACGGATATTACCCACGGATGAAAATCCGTAGGTAAATTGTACATTACCTACGGAATTCTATCCGTAGGTAAAGTGTACATTACCTACGGAATTCTATCCGTAGGTAAAGTGTACATTACCTACGGATATTATCCGTAGGTAAAGTGTACATTACCTACGGATATTATCCGTAGGTAATGTCATCCGTGGGTAATTCCGTAGGTAATTACCTACGAAATTACTATCCGTAGGTAAATTATATTAAACTAAAAGAATTTTCAATAGCAAGAATCGAACCCAGTACCTTAAAGTTGAAAACTGATACTCCAACCACTAAACTATTAGGATATTCTAATAATAATTTACAACTAAATTATACTTATATTTATTCGTGTAAATATATAAATATATAAATATATAAATACATAAATACATAAATACATAAATACATAAATACATAAATACATAAATATATAAATATATAAATACATAAATACATAAATACATAAATACATAAATAGATAAATACATAAATACATAAATATATAAATATATAAATACATAAATACATAAATATATAAATATATAAATATATAAATACATAAATATATAAATAGATAAATATATAAATATATAAATACATAAATATATAAATACATAAATACATAAATATATAAATATAAATATATAAATATAAATATATAAATATATAAATATATCAAAATATAAATATATTTTATATTTATATATTTTATATTTTTATATATTTTATATTTATATCTTTTATATTTATATATTTTATATTTATATATATTTTATATTTATATATATTTTTTATATTTATATATATTTTATATATATATATTTTATATTTATATATATTTTATATTTATATATTTTATATTTATATATTTTATATTTATATATTTTATATTTATATATTTTTTTAATATTTATATATTTACACGGATAAATATAAATATAATTTATTTGTAAATTATTATCAAAATATCCTAATAGCTTAGTGGTTGGAGTATTAGCCTCCAACTCGAGGTATTGGGTTCGAATCCTGCCAATGACAATTCCCTTAATCTAATAATAATTCAAAGTTTCGAAAATATAATAAATAATAAAAATATAATATAAAGGGGAGGGGGTCCTAGGTAATAATAAAAAATAAGGGAGGGGGTTGTAATAAATAAAAATATTTTGTTTAGGTGAATGCATTACCTACGGATTATAATCCGTAGGTAATTCCAGTGAGTGCATTACCTACGGATTAAATTCCATAGGTAATTATCTACGGAAAGAAATCCGTAGGTAAAGTGACATTACCTACGGATTTTTGTCATTACCTACGGATTTTACCCGTAGATAATAAGCATTTTTTTTGTAGTGCTAGCATACACATTATTTTCTACATAATTCTAGAAGTTTGTGTCAATTTTTAACACTTCTTCTTGATACAAACTTCTTTAATTACTAGCATATTGCGCAACTGTTCCAACTTTGCTTTCGGTAGTGCCTTTGTAAATATGTCTGCTACTTGTTCTTCTGTTGAACAGTACTGAAGTTGAATTTGTTTTGATGTTTCAGTTTTACGAATGAAGTGATATTTGATAGATATATGTTTTGTTCTTTGATGATGAAATGGGTTCTTCGCCATTGCTATTGCTGATTTGTTGTCGTAATAGATAGTAGTTGGTCCATCTTGTGGTTCGCCCATTTCTTCAAGTATTCTTCGTAGCAATATTGCTTGACTTGTAGTTTCAGCAGCAGTTACGTATTCTGCTTCTGCTGTTGATTGTCCCACGGTTGTTTGCTTCTTTGATGCCCATGAGAAAAAACTCAATCCAAGTGAGAAGGCGTATCCTGATGTACTCTTCATGTCGTCTATTGATCCTGCCCAATCACTATCGGTATAGCAAATCATCTTTGAGTTGATCATGGTCTTGTACCATATACCAAACTCTCTTGTACCTTGCAGATACCTTAAAATCCTTTTTCCTGCTCCATAGTGAATCTGGCTTGGCTTTTGCATGAATCTTGACAGAAGGCTTGTAGCATACATGATATCTGGTCGTGTAGCGGTAAGATATAGTAAGCCTCCAATCAAACTTCTGTAGCATGATGCGTCAGCTACTGGTGCTCCATCATCTTTTTGTAACTTCTCATTTGTCATAAGTGGAGTAGCCACAGATTTGCAACCATACATCTTGAATTTCTTTAATAAAGCCTCAATGTATTTCTTTTGAGAGATAAATATACCTTCTTTTGTTATCTTACCTCTATGCCAAGAAAATAATTCATCAAGCCAAGATCAGTCATTTCGAATGTTTTCATCATATCTTCTTTGAATTCTTTCATCATTTCCTTATTGTTTCTTGTATAGATGAGATCATCAACATATAAGGAGACAATGAGATTATACTGACCTTGTGTCTTGATATAAAGTGTTGGTTCACTCTTGCTCCTCTTGAATCCTTGATCGATAAAATATTTATCAATTTTGTTATACCATGCTCGAGGAGCTTGCTTCAGGCCATATAGAGCTTTTCTTAGTCTTAGTACTTTTCCTTCGTGGCCTTTTGATCGATGTTGTACTCGGTCAAATAATTAAAACAGATAAATGTAGTACTAGGAAGTTTTCCTAGGTCGTCTCCCAAAGACCACGAATTTCTATCAAAGCTTATCAATTTTTAAAATTAGAACAGTAACAAAAAAAAAGGGAAGTTTTTCAAAATTAAAATATTAGATGAAACAGAACAAAAACAAATTATAAAAATGCGGATTAAAAACAGATTAAAATACAATTGATTTCCTGATTCTAATGCAGTGTCACTTATCCTAGATTACGAAATTAAGTCGAAATTAACCAACTAAGCGAAGATAAATCCCAAATTATATTCTAATTCGAAATTAATCAACTAAGCGAAGATTAATCTCAAATTAGCTTTAACCCTTGTTCCAATATGAAATTAACCAACTAAGCGGATATTAATCCCAAATTTTCCTTAACCCTTATTCCAACATGAAATTAACCAACTAAGCGAAGATTAACCCCAAATTATCCTTATACAATTAAGCATTGCATACATCACATAATCTCATATCTAACACAGAATTAAGCAAACTGTGATATTAGTTTCGGTTTATTAAGCATAAACAGATTATAATTCAACACTGAGATTAGAAGATGAAGAGTGAAGAGAACAAACGAAATGAAATTGAACAACAAAACCTCAAAGATCTACTTGCATTCTTCTCAGAAAATCAATACAAAGATTTAGCTATCCATTGAAAGTTGAAAACGCAATAGAAGAAACATAATTAAAATCGAAACAAGAATTTAAAAATAATGACAAAAGAGTAAACAAACTTGAATATAAATTGCAGAAGATGAAAGGTGGAAGTGTGGTGGCTGCGTAGTCCTTGTGTGATATCCGTCTCTGATGTGTGATGTGCCTCTCTTATATAAATAAGCCTAACCTTAATCTTTATTGAGGTTTGGGCTCAACTGGTCCATGAAACACATCATAAGTTGGCTTTAGTGCAGGTCCGTGAACTTCAAACACGTGCAGTATTTTCAATACTTATCCAAATTAAGCGATTTCGGTATCCTTTGAAATACTTTTGAGTTAGATTTAAAACGCCACCATTGCTACTACTTTTGGAGGTCTAATGAATTTAGGAGACTTAAATTACTGAAGCATGTCCATTTGGCCGGCCTGGTGCGCTTGACCCATGTTGGATAATTTATGTAAAATCCAATTTATCTCCGAATTGGATGATTTTGGATCCTATGGAAAGCTGAATGTGTCTAGTGTATAATGTTTTGAAAATAATGATTTTTGGATATCTGTAGAAAAAATGATAAATAAAACAGTAAACCAATGTTAGTACCCGTATAGAATAAAATATGACAATTGACCCAATTTTCCAAGCCCAAAATTGCTTTAAACTGTAAAATGGCATCTAGTCCAATCTTCTAGGCCCAAAATTGCTTTAACTGTCCTAAAATTAATAATGAGAAAAAATTTGATCAAATAGATCCAAATTAATTAAAATCTGAATTATTGGCCCAATGAAGCCCAATCAATGAAAATGCACTAATAATAGACAATTAAACACAATGCACCAATTAAGATAAGTACATAAAGATAAAAAAATGCGGGAAAATAATGGCTCATCAAATTCCCCCACACTTAGCCTTTTGCACTCCCGAGAAAAATCAAGAAGCAAAGCAAGGAGCAATTCCAAAGACATCGAAGAGAGTGACATAACAAAAAGGAGCAAGAACAAGAAGACATACAAAACACAAACAAATTTACACAATCCTTAATGAAT